GACCCCCGTGGATACCAAAATCCATGGATGTTCAAGTCCCATTATATACAATGGTGTAGCAAAATGGTGTCCCTTATATAAAATTGGTGAAATCAAAGTTTGTTTTTTGGAATTTATATCTTTTGGGAGTATTTTCAAGCCATGGATAGTTGAAGTCTTTGATGCAGAATCTGTGGATACAGAGGCCCAACTGATCTTTGCTCCTATGGGAATCAATCAATTCATTCATGACTTATGCACCTTACTGATTTCAATGGGATACAAGTGCAATTACCTTTAGCCTGGATCTAACCTCCTAGGTTCTTAATTGCTCAATTTTACCAAATAATTTTGTACAACCTGTAAAGAATGGTGTATGTATGTGTATATATTTGATGAGAAAATAGCCCAGAGCAACTTAGTGTATAGTTCCCAAGTGGTCCCCTAAGACAAAACCCACTTACCTCCTGCAGCAGGTTGATCTGGCTTTCTCACTATATTTGGAAGCACTGCACACATCTAAAGTTAATAACTGGCCTTAATTTGAATAGATAAAGTTGCTTCCAGGAAAACAATAATCCTTTGCTTGAGCAAATGTTATTTCAGAACCTCTGACTTCACACTACCCAGATTTAAGGGTGTAAATAGCAAAATTTAGTCTAAGATCTGACCCTGTGGAAGCACAAAGTAACTTTATGGTCATAGAGTTCTGTAATAGTTGTGCTATGCCATCTTGTTATGGAATTACAATGTTTCACATTCAAATTGTGAAACAATTGTACACGGACACCTCCACCCATGATGCATATGCTCCTAGCTCATCTGCATTTGCAATGCACATTCAAAATTTGTGCCACACTGTCCAACCCCTTGAACTGAATGCAGATGCTCTGCATTGCACAAAAGTGTTCAACCACTTTTAGAGGTGAACTGATGAATGTTTAAGCCATGAACAGGATTCTGGCTATGGGTTGTTCATCAAGACTGAACAAACGCCCCACTGGATGATTAGAAGTTTACCTGAAATTCTGCCACTTTTTTAAAATGTCATTTTGGAGAAGGTGCTTGCTTTAGTGACAGCGCAGCTGTGTTTCTTCTTAAATTCTGCCTCACCTCTGCAGGCTTTTCTTCCGGCTTTATTGGAGCAGCAGGGCCCCTTCCGGCTTTATTGGAGCAGCAGGGCCTTTTCTGTTCTCTTTGCCAAGTCTCAGCAATTCTTGTGTCAAACAGTATGAAAACGAGGGCTGCACCAAAGTCTGTCATCTTTTGCCCAGATTGTTATGAGCTGAAACTTGACCAGCCATGCCACAATCCCAACAGCTCAAGCGTCCAACTGCATGACCATCAATATTAAAAGGGATATTGAAGTTATTACTCCAGGCACTGGGCAGCTCAACCCCATAATCTGACTCACGTTCCTTCTCTAAGAGGATAAAAATCTCTGAGCAGATGCAATGCAAGACTCTCATCTGTGACAGCAGACAACAGAGGCACAATTACCACTGTTGCAAATTACCAATTCACAGAGACATTTTGCATTTAAAAAAAAATGCCACGAGGTAAATGGTTTAATACACAGCATTTGCCTGGATGCTTTGTAGCAAAGGACTGCATTTGCTAGTAGATAATACAGACACTACAATCTGGGCAGCTTTTTCACCAAGGCTAAGGCAAGTGTCCAGCATAGCACGGGTTCGGGCAGTCAAAGTGGGAAAGGAGGTGATCATCTCATAGTCGGTCCTGGATAAGAGCTGTTGAGAGCGCAGAACATCCAAGAGATGGTTCAAGCGTCCTTCTGTCATACAGTTCAGGATGGTTTCTCGCTCACAGGCCAGTATGGAACAACTCTTCTGTTTATAGCAAGATCCTGGTGCACAGAGGATGGAGAGGGGAAAACAATCGCTAAGTAACTTTTGGCCATACCCTCCTATAAATCTGCCTGTTTTTTTTTTGGGGTGAGGTAGGGTGGGGTGGGAGAAATTTTATAACTGACTGCAAAGGGTCATAACTTATAGATAGCTGCCCACCAGCCATGTTGTGTAGTTGTTGTTATACACCTTCCAGTTCAATCTTGACTTATGGTGACCCTCTCCTAACATTTTCTTAGCAAGATTTCTTCAAGGGAATTTAGTCATTGCCTTCTTCTGAGGCAGAAAGAGTGTGACTTGCCTAAGCTCATCCAGTGGGTTTATGTGGCCCAGTGAGGATCCAAACCCTGGTCTCTGGAGTCGTAATTCAACACTCAGACCACTACACCATGTTGGCTCTTCCCCAGCCATGCCACTTCCTAATCCCCAAATAGCTCCAAGCACCTTAGACAACTGTAAAGTCAAATTCACCACTCTGCTGACAAGGAATCCACCAGTGACCGCTGAGTTTAACTTTGCACTGTGCTACATTATTTTACCTATCTTGAATCTCCCCCAGCCACGTTCAATGGAGGAGTGAATGCCTCAATTCAGAATAGAATTGCCTATTCCAGTTCTCACCCAAGCTTAAGAAAAGATGAAGATAATCTCACCTGTTGACCTGTTTTCTGACCAACTGTTCTGTTGGCTGTTGTATGTTAGACTGTGGCCAAGATCCTGTGCTAATTTTGGCAGTGGTTTTTGCCTGTCCTCTGACTCTTTGCAAAAGGGCAAGGTACTTTTGTCACTTGCACTTGAATCAGGCATGAGAAAGGTGGATAAGGAATGTGGAGGTGATCTGGATCCTTTGCTCTTGCAGACTGGGTGACCTGTAGAAATGAAGATCAAAAAGAAAGAAAGAAAGAAAGAAAGAAAGAAAGAAAGAAAGAGAAAGAGCCAAGTGTGAATGAGGGAAGCAAGTCAGTGGGGTAATGAATCCATTCCATATTTTCTTCTGAACTTTAAAAGTGCTATCCAAAGTGCTCAACATATGTTAGATCCAGTTTTCATCATCTTGGATAGTTCCTTGAAACTTCAGGCTAAACCCAGGATGGATTCTCCACCTCATTGAAACAACTAGCTGCCACTGGAGGGAAGGAATAGTGGGCCATACTTGCATTTCTGTTCTCTTTGCCAAGTCTCAGCAAATCTAGTAATTGGCTTATATTAACTAAAATATCCGACCATCTGTTCAGCTTTGTTCACGATGAAGAAAGAGCTCAGATTACCTTATATATAGTTAAGCCTATCCAGGGGTAGTCATGTTAGCCATGTAGTAAAGTATAATACCATCCAAAATCCACAAAACAATGATACCTTTATATGGCCAACCAAAATGCACAAAATATACCATGCAAGCTTTCGAAGCTCCAGATGGATCCTTGCATCTTTGTTATTTGTGTATCTTGGTGCTAGGAAGATTATTCCAAAAGAACAAGCTGATACTGTGAAGGTAACATAATATATTTTGTTCCCTACCAAGAGAGTGGGGAATGGCTTATGTAGCAAGGACTGGGGAATGGTTGTTTATCTTACAGGAGGGCTATACAAGAAGTGGAAACTTCTATTGTTAGTTTCATGGAATTTCCCCAGCGCTTGGGCTTTGCAGTAGTGACCTGGCCATCTTGGCAAAACTGTATTCGAAAGCAAGAGCTCAGGGCTCCCCTCTTTTTGATATTGCTCTGTCCAGGGTGGAGAATAGAAATTCATGTTTTAAAATACATTGGGATCCTTGATCCACTGGCATGGCCTACGAATCTTTCTCGGCGTGGCTGGGAGAAGCAATTCAACTTCAGAAATCTATGCTCAACCTCAGATCTTAGATAGTTACTTTTTGAAAGTGACATGCTGCATTTACTTGTTACAGTGTTTCAAGAGTATATACAGTAATTGCTGCTGCTTGTTAGGGCTGCAAATCCGCCCTGGCTTTTAGTCCCAACTTTAGAGGAGTTCTCCAAAGTGCTGAACCCTATTTCCAGAACAGGTTTAAGCATCTTGCATAGCTCCTTGAAAGTCTGGACTGCCCTAACAGCATTGATCAGCTGGCACTGTTCATGGTGGATACAAGAAAAGCATAATAAAACTTGCAAAACTGCCATCGAAATGTCCCTCAAAATGCCTTCTGAAAATAAATTTTACAGCAATCTACAAAAAAAGTGACTTGTTCTGTTACTAAAATGATGTCATTCAATCCCTACAAAATCTGCTTTGTACACTCTCTACTTGCATGTATGAAGGAAAATAGTATGGTGTGTGTGTTTGTTCTTCCAACATCCTTATTAAGCTTGCTTTTTAAGAGATTTTCTGGATGTACATTTAATATTTATTTATGTATTTATTTATATACATATAAATAACTTATTGGATTTATATCCCACCTTTCTCCCCAACTGGGATCCAAGGCAGCTTTACCATAATTTTTAAAAGGTACATCTAAAATATTGATTACAAAAGAATTAAATAATAGTAGTGCCACAGTATTGTTTTTTGAATGCCCATTTACTAAGAGATGTGCTTGTTTGCCTGGTTTCCAGGCACTCCCTACATGTCTTAAAAAACTGAACCAGAGAGAAGTCATATGGGAAGCAACTCTTAAGATGACCTTCACACTTTAGACTTGTTTGTTCAGACTTGTTTTGCATCCTGCCGACAGGTTGGGGATTCTGTTAGGAAAACAATGCTGTGGGACAAGCCAGACAGATTTCAGCTACATCCAGCTTTTGGCTGTATACATAGACTTTGACTGGATCCACTCCTGCTGACAGACATTTCTTCTTCCTCGGACCAAGAGCACTCAGTGTCTGGCCATCCAGAGGAAGGATGTTGCATGACGCTGTTGGCCTTTTGGCTAAAAGCTATGAAGACCATATTGCTTTGGGAATTATTTTCTGGCTTCTAGCTTATCCTCTGACCTCCTCAAGCTATTTTATTAAAAATGTATCTCACTGAAATATTAGCTGGAGAGCTGGGGTAGAGATCTATTGGAGTGAGCTCTATTATGGTGGGAGAGAGTGTGGCATAGTGGTTTGAGTGCTGGACTATGACTCTGGAGGCCAAACAGAGCCCATCATCCTAGAAATTGAATACATGTAAGGTTGTAAATCTACCTTAAGAGCCAGCATGGCACAGTGGTTTCAGTGTTGGACTACGACTCTGGAGACCAGGGTTTGATTCCCAGCTCGGCCATGAAACCCACTGGGTGACTTTGGGCAAGTCACACTCTCTCAGACTCAGAGGAAGGCAATTAGATGCTTGCCGTTGCATTTTCAAATAAAGACCTTCCTTGGAGTAAAGACAGGACATATAGGCTATGAATTAAATAAGCAAATAAACAAGGACACTGATGTGGTAACTCCTCTGAGACCAGAGTTTAGAAAAGTTACTTTAGGGAATTATAGATCAAGAATAACTTTCCCCAGCTCTACCAAGATAAGAAGAGCCAGCATGGTGTAGTGGTTTGAGTGCTGGACTAGGCACTGGGAGACCTGGGTTCAAATCTCTGCTCGGCCATGGAAACCCATTGAGTGAGTTTGGGCAAGTCACACTCTCTCAGCCTCAGAAGAAGGCAAAACCCAATCTGAACAAATCTTGCCAAGAAAACCCTTATGGTTGTCATAAATTGAAAGGACTTGGAAGTCACACAACAACAAACCCAAGACAGATTGGATGCAACACAGGAGGTGAAGGATGTAAGCCTTTTACCCTCACTATGCTCCTCAAGGGAATGTCCTACCACCACCCATTTTAATGAATTTAAAATCTAATTAAAACATCACCTTTTCTTACTGCTGTGCCATGATGCGGATTACTGCCAGCAAGGAATGTCTGGTTAGCCTCCTCTCCTGGCCCTCTTGTACCACTTTCGGGACCAACATTTGACAAAGTCTGTGCTTTTAGATTAATTTCCTTGTTGTGCCTGTTGTTGTTCTCAGTACAGATGATCTGAAACAAACAGTGAGAAAGTACAGCTAGAAACTACTCCCATCTGAAACACTGAAGAGCCACGGAAAGTCAGCATAGACAATAATAAGGGGATGCTTTGATTGTGATTTCCTGCATGGCAAGGGGTTGGACTGGATGGTCCTTGGGGAATCTTTCAACTCTATGATTCTATGATTAAGCTGGAGCAACCAACTTAAAAAATTCCTATACTCACCTCCAAATTTTGCCTGTTTTTTTCAAGAACATGAGGAACTGGGCCTTTGGCGGCATCTATTGCACAATCCTGAAAGAGAGAAGTAGAGCATGAGTACACAGTGCTCTAAGCAGGAAATATAAAGACAGGAAGAAACGGGATAGCATTCATATTAAGAAGGGATATAGCAAAAGCAGTCAAAGGATACAGCACAAAATCAGACCAAATTATGGCAATAAGGTTGCAAGGAATCCCTATAAATATTACCATAATCAACTATATGTGCCAACCACAGAGGCAGAGGAAGAAGAAATTAATGAATTCTATGAATGAGTCCAGGAGGAAATTGGCAATACAGCAACACAGGACTTCAAATTAATCATTGGAAATTGGAATACTAAAGTAGGCAGCAAAGAAGAATCAAAAACAGTAGGAAGATTTGGACTAGATACAAGAAACAAAGCAGAACAATTGAGCAAATTTTGCCATGCCAACAACCTATTCATTCCAAACACCTTCTTCATGCAACTAGAAAGGAGACTACGGGCCTTTGTAGACTGCCAGAAATAGTGCAAATTGAGGCCACTTTAACTGCCCTGACTCAGTGCTAGGGAATCATGGGAACTGTAGTTTATTGTGGCACCAGAGCTCTCTGACAGAGAAGGCTCAATGTCCAGAAAAAAATACAATTCCCATGATTCCCTAGCACTGAGCTAGGGCAGTTAAAGTGGACTCAATTTGCATTATTTCTAGCAGTCTGCAAAGGCCCTATATACATGGACATGATGAGATGGTCAAGACAAAAAATCAGATACACTATATAATTGGAAGCGGAAGATGGAGAAGCTCTATTCTTGTGGCCAAAACTATGCAAGGTGCAGACTATGGATGGAACTACTTATATCAAAATTTAGACCAAAGCTGAAGAAGAAAGCAAAAACAGCTATTCTAATTTTGCTACATCCATAGGGAGGGTCTGAGAGAGGTTTTGGATGAGAAGAGGAGTGAACTACCTAACACTATGAATTTACATCACAGAGGGGTCAGAATAGGTAGACAAAGAGGGAGATCTCTGAATATAACTCAAGCTATATAACACTATTACTACTGCCTAGCCTGAGGCATTAACTCTTTCAGAGCAGAGTGCTGTTGCACTTCCAACTTGACCATCATAAGTCACCCAACATATTACCAGCTGCAAAGCTCAAGAATGATCATGCCAGTTTTACCTGTGACATTTCTCAGTTGTGCTTTCTGTTATAGTTTTGCAAAGGACCCTGAGCGAGTGACATACTAACTGATGATAACTCACCTTTGCATGGATCAAGTTGTATATTGCATCAGAAATTGCCTCCTTTCTAAATGTGCTCAGAATAGTCTGTAGAAGTGCTGTGCATTCTGTAAATGAAAACATGCACAAACCGTATTAATCTGTCTGTATGTAAATGCGCAAACGCAAATCTTTGTTTTCAGCCTCATTTAGGATCCAAAGCCACTTCCAGTTTGCATGTTGGTTTTGCTCATACAGTGTTGCTACTTCTGAGGTTGCTTCTGCAAGGGTCCATATAGGCATAGATTTCCATTGGCATGGCTCTTACTAACAACATATTTACATACTATGCAAGCAATGAACCTCAGAAAATACAGGGTATCACACTTCTGTGGTATGTAAACATGGAGTCATGTAGGCAGATGGATCTTTTTATATTATGTCTAAGCCAAATCACTGCAAGAGAAACAACAGAAGCAGCAGCAACCAAATAAGTAAAGTTAACAGATAAATCAATGGAGGTTGTAGGTACATTTTATTAGACAAGATTTGTTGACTTCATGGTAGTAGGCTGGAACACACTCCTCTCACTGTTGTGACTGATTCCTACTGTTGTTGCTTTTAGGAAGGTTGGGATGACCATCTCTTTTCAAGCTGGGCTTTTAAATGGTTTGACTGACTAATCAGTTTTGTTTACTTTTTGTGCCACAACAACACCTTCACAATGTAAAGTATCTTGTGTACATCAAGTGATTATAATGCCAGATACTTCTATTTTAACTCCAGGCTGGAACACAACAAAATGTGAAAAAGTCAAAGCGAGGCCCAGGAATATTTCTCCAAGGCTATTGGCCATGCTGGTGAGTAGACTCTGTAAGCTTAAAAGTAAATGTCTCCTAGTTTTGCTTTAAGGGTGAATCCATCCAAGTTTACCATGGAACCAGGAGAGATTTATGCTTCCCTGCAGTTTTTCTCTCTGTTTTTAATAGCCACATTTCTCTCCCATATGACCTATGAACCAAGTACTTGTGAGAGAGTAGACAACACAAGCATTTGAGCATAAGTGTGTGGATCAGTACACTCCAGAGGAAGCACCACCAGCACTCCTCCAGGGAAGACCATCACTCCTGCAGGGAAAAGTATCACCAAGACTCCTCCAGAGAAGGGAGAGATCAGTTCCATCATCCACTCTTGCCTCTCTTCTCCAAAGTCACTGCCTAACTGTCTGCCTGCTTCCTGCTGAGTGGGACCATCTAGATCAGCAATTCCCAAACTCTGGTCTTCCAGATGTTTTTGACTTATGCTCCCAGAAGTCTTGACTGTTGACTAAGCTGACTGGGGATTTGGGGAGTTGAAGTCCAAAACTCCTGGGGGACAAAAGTTTGGTAACTACTGATCTAGATACTCACAGGACTCTGGGCATCACAATTCAAAAAGGATGTTGAAAAACAGGAGCGTGTCCAGAGATGGCGACTAAAATGGTGAAGGGTCTGGAAACCATGCCTTATGAGCAGAGACTTAGGGAACTGGGTATGTTTAGCCTGGAGAAGAGATGGTTAAGAGGCGATATGATAGCCCTGTTTAAATATTTGAAGGGGCGTCATATTGAGGATGGAGCTAGCTTGTTTTCCACTGCTCCAGAGAACAGGACCTGGAACAACAGATGCAAGCTACAGGAAAAGAGATTCCACCTCAAATTAGGAGGAACCTCCTGACAGTAAGGGCTGTTTGACAGTGGAAGACACTGCCTTGAAGAATGGTGGAGTCTCCTTCTTTGGAGGTCTTTAAGCAGAGGCTGGATGGCCATCTGTCAGGGATGCTTTGATTGTGAGTTCCTGCATGGCAGGGGGTTGGACTGGATGGCCCTTGTGGTCTCTTCCAACTCTATGATTCTAGGAGCAGGTTCCAGGTTCTTCCAGGACAGAGACAGCAGTGGTGAGCATCACTTCTTCCCCTGCCTGAAAGGCATATAAGGGGATGGCTGGGTGGCCTAGGGAGTCAGTACACTCCAAAGGAAGCACTCCTAGGAAAGCACCACCAAGACTCCTGCAGAGAGCCCTGTTCCATCATCCTGATGAGGATTTTGGTATATTATAGTCCTATATTTTATTGCTTTGTTCTCGATTGTATATATCTGATGTTCCACCCTTTGGTGCAAAGGGTGTTATAAATAAACGTTGTTGCTGTTGTTATTACCTGCAGCACATGGCCTGTTAAGGAGTTCGTGGTGCCAGCACAAAACAATGAGCTGCACCAGCTTGTTGCGATGTGGCAGGTCATTTGCTATGAATGCTGGTTCAATCTCAGGACGCACTCCACTGCAGACTGCTGTCACAGCTTGAAGCAAGGTTTTCTTTCCTGCAGTAGGAAAAGAAAACATTCCTTTATTAATGTTGTCAGTGCTAACAATGAGTGCATCTACACTGGAGGTTTGACACCACTTTAACTGCTATGGCTCCATCCTACAGAACTGGGGGATTTGTAGATTTGCGAGGCACCAGCACTCTTTGGCAGGGAAGGCTAAAGACCTTGTAAAAGTACAAATCCCAGGATTCCCTAGGATGGAGCTACAGCACTTAAATTGGTGTCAAACTACATTGTTTGTATAGCGTAGATGCACCCGATGACACAAGTCAACTTGTGGATGCAAATGATATTTCCAAAGAAAACACACAAGAGGGCAGCACAGAACTGGAAACAACTGTAGTTTCTTTTCTTTTTCCATCTGGTTTTTGGCATCCGCTCTTATCTCTCTCAGTGTAGCAGACACATCCTGCTATTCCAGTCCCACTTTTCCCAGTGTCAAGGAAAGGCAGACAAAAATGGCCAGTTCTCACAGTAGCCTATTGCTCTAGTGCCTTACATCCTTCATGGTCACTAAGCAGCCTTTTTCTTCCAGCTGCCAGAAAAAGTGGGAGTTCGGCCAATGTTTGTTCAAGGCTCAAAAAGAATTAAGTCTGCCAAAGGTGCTACACCTACACTGCTATTTGCAGTCAGGGAAAGTTTCTCAGAAGGCAGGTGCCAGCCTAATCCAGCCGATTATTGATGCTTGGCACGAATAGAAGCCATGGAGGAAGGACAGGTGCAGAAGGTGGTTGCCGCCCAAATCTCAAATAGCTACCTAGAAGATGCATTTACAAGAAATGATGCAGGGTGCTCTTATTGTCTAACAGTTACAGGCAGAGGAAGAGCAAAAGCAAGAGGCAAGATAAGGACATTGTGTAGGCTTTGTAAAGCAATCTACTATTAAGCATGTTTATTCCACAATGTATGTTAAGATATCCTTTTGCATTCAGTGAATTAAGTGTGTGCAGAATTACAGTCTTCAAGAAAATCCACTCAGGACTGAACACGCTGGCTGACTGACAAAGATAGGAAGGAAAGTTAGGAAGGGGGAAATGGAGTAGAGTATTTTGGAAAAGGGCCTTATTTTTAAAGAATCTGAAGCGCTCTTACGGATGTTCCCATAGGTAATAGCAAAAGGGGAATGATCCAAGCATTTCCTGGAAAGGATCAAGTCAGAAAGGAGGATGTTAAAAGCAGTGCTTTGTTAAAAGTTAAAAGAGGATAGAGGATGAAAGGCACACAAATACCTACCTCTCAAGGGCTTCTGTCGGCTTAGGACTTCCCAACACATCATTCCAAAGCTTGCCACAAATATTAAAAGATATACACACATATTAGTTCAGAATATATAAACTAGCAAGTTAACAAGTCCAAGAAAACTTTAAACAAAACCCACCTCCAATTCTCCACTTTTGACAGCGTTTCTGTTCCAGTTATTCTTTTGCAAAAAGCTAACAAATGTCGGGATCTAAAGTTTACGTTTTCCATTTCATTTGGGAGCAAATTTTGATTTGCTGTTGCCTTTTACGTTGGCGGTGAATTTATGTTCTGATTTTGTTTTACTATGCATTTAAACAGTTTCTGCGTTTTTACTGAACCCATCCTGAGAATTTTAAGTACCGTATATATGGCATAAATAAATTAACAAACAAAACAGAAATCTCAAAGGATGCAATTCTGATTTGAAACAGAAACTCACCTGTACATGTCACCTTCTCGTGAGAAGCTGCCACCTTGAAGTATTTCCGGAGAGAAGTAAAGCAAATCCCAACAACTTTTGTCATTACAGTTTTGCAGGAGTGAAAGCATTTGCTGCCTTCTCCAAGTGGCTAAGCCATAATCTGATATCTGCAAGAAGGAAGTGCCATTTTTTAATTTTTTTATTAATTTTAATTTTAACATGTCATACACGCAAAAAATAAAATAAAATTACATATACACATACACACACACACACATTATATACATATGTACACATATATACCTTCAAACAAGTACATACATACACAGTCATACACATAACAAGGGAAAGAAAAATGGGGAGGGGAATTATAAATATATAAATATTTATCATTGTAAAAATAAACTTCCTACTTCCTTGTAACCATTCCTTTTACTGAGGAATTCCGATTTTCTGTACACCTTGTTCACTATCCCGGCTGCTACGCAACTAAGATTAGTTATTATTATTATTGTATAATTAATTTATTCCAAAAGTTGTTTCACCCTTGAAATACTTTCCAATTATCTTATCCTATTACGTCGATTGAACATCTGTCATGCTTATGTATATATAACCATATATCATTTACTAGTGAGGTAACAATAGTATACATCCCCTTGACATTTTATATTTACCTTTTCTTTTTTTAAACCCCATTTCTTAAAAAGAAAATTATTCACGCTTCTAAATGGAATCCCAATATGTTTTAACTATTTTCCATTCCTTTTCCATTTCTTTTTTTGATTTTCCTCTTATCAGAGCAGACAAAATATCCACATCCATTGCTTCTCTAACTTTTAGGATCCAATCGTCAATCAAAGGAACCTTACCTTTCTTCCAATTTTTTGCAAAGAGGAGCCTTGCCACAATTCAATTATATTGGTTTACTTTAAACTCATGTGTCATATTTAACAGAAAAAAATGTGGTGTGAAAGGGATTTGAGTTTGAAAGATCTTAGTCATCTCTTTATGGATGGAAGTGCCATTTTAAAGATGCCATTAGATAGGTTCTCTTTCAGATTACACAATCACAGCACTTGGGTACCACTTTAACTGACATGGCTGCATCCTATGCAATCATGGGATTTGTAGTTTGGGGAGTGGCACAAGAGCTCTCTGACAAGGAAGCCGAGATTCCCCAGGGAACTACAAATCCCAGGATTCCATAGGACATCAAAAGTGGTGAGAAACTGTTTTAGTGGTCCTTCATAATTAAATCTCTTTTATCGTATTGTCGTCCTCACTCAAGTTATTCTTCTATTTTTATGCTTGTAACCCGCCTTGATTCCCTTTGGAAATAGGCAGGCTAGGAATAAATCATATTATTATTAAATCATATTAATAACAAGTTTGTTATACTGTGAATTAAAAGGGAAATGAGGAAATTCCAAGAGTCCTACCTTAGCTCTGTACTCTAGATCTATCAGAACATTGGAGGGCTTCAGGCTGTGATGAAGGATGGGAGGCTCCAAAGAATGCAGATAATTCAGACCCTCTGACACATCTGATAGGATTCTCATGGAAAGAGGAAAAGGCAATTCTGGGCAGAGTTCATGCTGAAAGAAAAACAAAATCACACTGGCTGGGTTC